TTCACTCACCGAGAAACAATGCATCTGTGGGAATAAGTCTGTGGGAGGCTTTGTATGTGTGGGGCCACTGGGACACATACTGTATGACTGCCGAAATCTAGTGGAAGTCAAGAAATTGAAGGCCATATTTTAACGAAAAAATTTGCCGATTACGAAAATTCACGAAAACTGAGACTCTCAAAAACCAAGGGTCCACTGTATTTGAGTACAGTGGAAACTCAAATATTGAACTGCTCCCAACTCAACCAATTATGTAAGTGTATTTTTGTAAATGCTTTTATAAGTGTATTTTTGAAGGTCTGAAATGAACTACAGTGGACCCCCGACTTACGATTAGCTCCCAACTCTAACAATTATGTAAGTGTATTTTTGTAAGTGCTTTTGTAAGTGTATTTTTGGGGGTCTGATACAGACTAATCTAATTTACAATATTCCTTAAGGGAGCAAATTCATTCGGTAACGGCACCTGAACAGCCTTCTGGAACAAATTAATATTGTAAGTTGAGGGTCCACTGTAATCTAATTTACATTATTCCTGATGGGAATAAATTAGTTTGGTGACGGCACTCGAACAGCCGTCTGGAATGAAGAAAGTTCAATATTTGAGGTTCCACTGTACTATTTCAGTGCCTAATATTAGTGTCAGAGGAAAGATTGGCTATGAAATCACAAAAACTACTACAAATTGTAATTATTAGAACATAAAAATTATATAAATAAAAAAATGAGAAGAAACGTATATCGGCAACACATCTGCAAGGACCAGGACTCCATGTTGCCATCAGGTGAGCATCCAGCGCCAACTTAGCTGTCTTATATCTCGGTAAGTACTGACCCTTAAATTTTTTTTTTATCCTATTACATTTAGAAAAATGCCCTCTTTATTTTAATAATTTTTTTATTTTAATATATTCGGAGTGCTGGGCTTGAGAACATAAATCTACGTTTGGACAGTTAACTCTTTCAGGGTCCCCAGACCCTCTGAGACTTGTTCTCAGGGTCACCAAAATTTAAAAAAAAAAAAAAATTCTTATGAAAAGATAGTTTTTTTTTCTTCTAAACATTATAGGCTAAACAAAAATTTTTTACCATCAATACTTACCAAGTTATGGAGGCGTGAAGTTGACAGAAAATGACCTGCATACAGTAACATCGCTGACTGCTGTCACCCGGTATTACTTTATTTTGTTTTTTTAGGTACTATTTTCTATTATTTTTTAATTTTTTTTCCAGGTAACTTTTATGGCCTGTGAGACCAATATGATCACTATTTTGTAAGTTTTTTCTCTTTATTTACTACACAATAACTGCATAAACACTGTTGTCACTGTTTTGTTTGCAAAAAATATTTACACAAACGATATGAAATGTTTTTTATTACTATTTTTCTATATTTTATATACACATATACAGTCACAGGGAATGTTTCTAGAAGTTCTGCAGCCTGTGGAACTCTTTGAAACATGGTGTCATGCACAGTGGAGTTTTACACTCCTCACACATAAAACGAGTGTCTCTGCGTTGTTGTGAGCATTTTTTTGTATGTGCACAGACGTAACACCTCTTCTGAGCCTTTTTCTTCAAAGCAGTAGCAGGCAGTTTTACCAGGAAGTGATCACCATGCTTCAGACGAGCAGGTAGTTGTTGATAATTTAGTGGTCGGTCTATTGCAGGTGTTGTTCCTTGCTACTTGAATACTATTTGTCTGATGACAGACAAACAGAACTCGCCATATGGTGGTTTGATTCTGGTCCTCATCTTATACATATTATAAGCATTGAGCATGGAAATGTCCAGAAGATGAAGAAAGAGTTTTATGTACCACTTTTAACTCCTGCGAACACAATCAGCAAACCCAATTTGCATGTCACATTTGTCCACTGAGTGCATATTGAGGGTGTAATCAATCACAGCTGCAGGTTTTAGAATGGGTTCATTGCTTTCTCTATGATGCCTGCCAGTGTTTGTCATTTCGTTAGGGCGAACTGATGACAACAGTGTGACATCTCGTTTGTCATGCCACCGAAATGCCATGATGTCATTGGCAGCAAACGCCTGCACCTCGCCTCTACGAGTGCCAGCGTCAAACCTGGGCATATGTTTACGATTTGCATGCACTGTGCCACACACACCTATCATGTTCACTGGGCTTGTTTACCAGTTATCAGTATATAATATATGCCCCTTACCAAGGTATGGCTCTCACATTGTTCTAACCACATCATCAGAGATACCCAATAACTTCCTGGTATTTTGCAATGTATAACTTCCAGTGTACACAAAAATATCCAATACCAGACCACTGTAACAATCACAAAGCACAAACAACTTTATACCAAAGCATTTCCTCTTGCTTGGTATGTACTGCTTGAAAGAGAGTCTTCCTTTGAACAGAATGAAAGACTCGTCAATTACAAGCTTCCTGAAGGGATAAAAATACACATTGAATTTCTCTTTTAGATACACAAACACATTCCTAATCTTATATAACCTGTCGTTTCTGTCAGGCCTGGTTTTGTCTGAGAAGTGAAGCATACGTAATAGTAGCACAAATTGATTCACTCCCATTATATCACTGAAACCTGGGGTTGCAATCAGGCAGTCTGTTGACCAGTATGATTTGACACTGTGCTTATACACATGTGGCATAAGCATTATTGTGGCAAAGAAAATATACATCTCAGCCACAGTTGTCTCCTTCCACTTGTGTAGCCGTGAGCTTGGTGAAAGTATTGTGTTTGCCATGGTGTACTCGTAGTATCTGTTGCTTTCCTGACAATAATTTCCATCAGGGGTTCATCAAAGAATAACTCGAAACATTCCAGTTCACTGGTATTGTTCCCCAGTGTACAACATGGCTGTATTCCACTTTGGCTTTCATCAAACTGGTGGGGATTTGGAACAAAATTGACAGCTTCCTGCCAATCCCAGGTGTGGTCTCCTGGTGAGTACTGGACATTGACAGGTGGTTGTGGTTGTGGAGGTTGAGGTTGTGGAGGCTGGTGAGGTGGGTGGGTGGGGGATGGTGGCCTTCGTTGTAGATCAGCTGAGGCAGCGGCGTGGGTGGCAGCGTGGGTGGCAGCATGGCCCACTGCTGGTGCCTCACAGTCGGCACCACCACCTCTACCACCACCATGCACATTTTCCATCCCAATTGCAACACTATCATCGTCATTTTCACTGTCTGTTCTTGTTGTACAGCCATGGGATGTACTCCGAGATGTACTCCTTCCCCTTGGAATAGCATATGGCACACTACCAGAGTGCATATATCGTCGTATATACTGACGCTTCACTGGAGAATATTCCACTTCATTATCACTACTGGAACTGTTTTCAAGAGCTTGTAGTTCATATTCACTATCACTATCACCACCAATGCTCACATCTGAGTCCGGGACTTGGGAAAATAGGAGTTTCCTCTTTGATTCTGGTACAACTGAACGTGAACAAGACGGCCCAGCAGCAGAGGTGGAAGGCTGAGGGTCGTCTGGGTTTTCCTCACTATTACTGATATTATGGTCATTAGTTTCAGTCACAAGCTCACCAAAACCTTGAAACTCATCTTCACCGGCACTTCCATCTGTGTTAGAATTGTCACTGGGGAACAAAAGTGTCTCAATTCGCCGAGGAGTAAGGAGCTTCTTACTGCAAGGCATAGTGAACAAGGCCTACTAAAATGGCATTTCCACAATGCGCCACTGGGTCCCAGATTTTTTTCTACCACACACACCGACCACACCCATTCTCTCACATCTAGGCCTACCAGCCTTTTCCCACGAGATTTGAAGGTGCTAGAATTTATGCATACTAGTACGTCAAAAACCCTGGCGCGTAAGCCGTACTAGTACGGCCGAAACCCTGAAAGGGTTAAGGGGTTAGTGGAGAAAACGTTTTAAAGGAAACTGTTTTAATCGATGGTCAGTGCTGTATTATGGGGTTTGAGTAATGGTAGTTTTGAGGTTCAATAAGTCGACTGAGCGAATTTTTCAGTAGTCCCCCTGTATCTGCAGGGGATATGTTCCAAGATCTACTGTGGATAGTATCTAACTCTATGTACTACAAGTAATTTTTCCTTTACATACATACCTTTGATTAAGTTTAATTGATAATTCTTGACTTATTTTGCATAATTTATCACCTTTTCGTTGATGGGAAGCATTTCATGGCTTTTCTTAGGATTTGAAGAACTGCTGGCTTCTCTACTTTTGTACTTTTAGGCCATTATTAAGCAAAATTAAGGGTTATTTTTGGGCCAAAGTAAGCCGTGGGTAACTGAAACTTTGGATATTGAATCCTTGGATATGGGGGGTCCTACACTAATAGCATAACTTGAGGGACTACTATATACAGCCTCTCCTCACTTAGTGACAGAGTTATGTTCCTAATACCACGTTGATAAATGAATTCATTGCTAACTGAGGAGCATACAACAGTGGTTTATGTCAACCATCTTTGATATTGTTTTAATGTCGCCCTTGCACCATTTATAACATTTTTAGTTCATTTTAAAATGTTTATACAGTAGTGTACTGTATATTATAATAAACAAAATAGAGGAAATCAGCTCTAATACACATTATTTAGGAATGCATACTGGTCAGAGAGTCCTTTGTAAGTCCGAGTCGTCGGTAAATGAGTACATCACTAAGTGAGGAGAGGCTGTACTTTTTTTCCGATGTATGCTACTGTTTCTAAATACAGTGGTACCTCGAGTTACGAACAGGTCCCAACTCGAACGATTATGTAAGTGTGTTTTTGTAAGTGCTTTTGTAAGTATATTTTTGGGGGTCTGCAACGGATTAATCTAATTTACATTATTCCTTATGGGAACAAATTTGTTTTGGTATCTGCATTTGAACAGCCTTCTGGAACGAATTAAGTTTATAACTTGAGGTACCACTGTACTGTTTATACAGTACAACTTGTGAGTTTTGTCTATATTTTCACATATTTATGAAAATGAATTTAAATGTATGATTTTTTTTTTATCCTTTCAGTGACTCAAGCATTGTGATATCAACAAGTGTGTGTCCACCGATCTTCCACCATTACATGCCAGAATGCTGTCCATGTGTGGGCTGCTCTGCCGCATGCTGCGGGGCTGGCGGCACAGCGAAGCTGTCATGCTCATGGCTAAGGCACTAACCCAGTCTCACTCATCACTCTTGGTCCAAGACATAAAGACTTCTGATGCAGGTCAGAATTTAATGTTTTTCCTCATAATACAGCAGGATGACTTGTATATGTGTAACTATTTCACAGTTATGAGCCCAAAACAGTTTGGAAATACTGTATTCTGTGGTGGTAGTAGGGTGCTTTTGTATTACCCATACAGGTTTAGTACTTCCCCTTTGACTGTAATAATAATATGGAGGTAGTAAATTTGTAAACAGTCATCCAGGGAGGTACTACCATTGTGTCATGGGTGGGGAAATGAAATAGCTTTCATGTGGCAAGATTGCTGCTCTTTTCTTTGTCTCATGAACATAGAGTACAGTAAACCTTTGATATAATACACTTTTAAGATAAGACAAAATCCACTGAGTAAATTGTACTTTATCTTATTGGTTTTCAATGTTTATGGCAGTATACAGTAGGGCCCTGCTTTACGGCATTCCACTAATACGTTCATTTCAAACTACGACCAAAACTCTCTGTACGGCTCCCCCCACCTGACTTTCTAATACGGTCAACGCGCCCCACCTGGTTTGTTTACATTCTTCATGAGCTCCGTAAGCACTACGTCTCTCCATTATGTCTAGAAACTGCAAAATTTCAAGTGTTTTTAAAAGTTATTTCATATTTTATATATACAGTGGACCCTCAGGTAACGGCATCATTGGCTAATGCCAAAATCAGATAGCGCCAATTTTTGCATCAAAATATTGGCTCAGCTAACGCCCAAGAACTCGGTTAAGGACATTCGTCCCGAACGTGTCCGCGCGGCCTGAGCTGCCCGGCCACTCCATGACTCCATGTACAGCTAGTGTTCCATTGTTTACAAGCCAGTGAGGATGATTCCATGTGTACATGCGATATATTTTTTATTATTCCAGTGGTTTTAGTGCTTGTAACTGCTAAATAAGCCACCATGGGCCCAAAGAAAGCTTCTAGTGCCAACCCTGTGGTAAAGAGGGTGAGAAATACTATTGAATTGAAGAAAGAGATCATCGCAAAATATGAGTTGGCCAGGTTATATAACAAACCCCATTCAACCATCACTACTATCTTGGCCAACAAAAATGCAATCAAGGAAGCTGTTGTTGCGAAAGGTGCAAGTATGGTTACAAAACAGAGATCGCAAATACTTGAAGATGTGGAGAGACCGTTGTTGGTGTGGATCAACAAGAAACAATTATCAGGAGATAGCGTCTCAGTCAATAATATGTGAAAAGGCAAGGCAGTTGCATGCAGATCTCATTAAGAAAATACCTCAAAATAGTGCTCATATTGATGAATTAAGGCCAGCAAAGGCTAGTTTGAGAGATTTAAGAATCATAGTGGCATACAGTGTGATAAGGCATGGTGAGGCTGCCAGTTCTGACAAAAAAGCGGCTGAAAAATATGTGCAGGACTTTAAGGGGTACGTAGAGATTAAAAATTTAACCCTTTGACTGTTTTGGTCATATATATATACGTACCAACTGAGCCCACGGAAGTCACCGAGATTATAAAGTCACTTAAAAATAACTTGGGGAATCTGTCTCATGTCCCACCATTATTGTGCAAGCGAGTGGCCCATGTTCTTTCGCGTGCTATTTCATTACTTTTTAACAAGTCACTAGAAACTAGCACCTTCCCGAAACTACTCAAGACAGCAAGGGTTACACCAATACATAAAGGTGGTGACCCTACAGATTTAAACAACTATAGGCCAATATCAAACTTACCATTGCTATCCAAAATCTTTGAGAAACTCGTGCACAGGAGACTATACTCATTTATAACGGCACAAAACATACTCAACCCCTGCCAATTTGGATTCAGAAAAAATAAAAGCACTAATGATGAAATTATAAAAATGCTAGATCTACTTTACACAGCATTGGAAAATAAGGAATATCCACTAGGAATTTTTATTGACCTAAGAAAAGCTTTTGGCACAGTAGACCACGGCATCCTACTCCACAAACTTGACCATTATGGTATAAGAGGCCATGCGCTTGCATATTTCAAACCTTACCTTACTAATAGGTATCAGTATGTCACCATTAAAGACACAGCATCAACAACACGGCCACTTGATACTGGAGTTCCGCAGGGAAGTGTCCTTGGTCCCCTGCTCTTCCTCATATACATCAATGATCTTCCAAACGTATCCCAACACCTGAACCCCATTCTCTTTGTTGACGACATGACTTATGTCATCTCTCACCCTAATCTTGCCACCCTCAACACCATTGTTAACGAGGAGCTGATCAAAATATCGACTTGGATGACAGCCAATAAACTTAAGCTTAACACTGACAAAACCTACTATATTATGTTTGGTAGCAGAGCTGGAGTTGTGCAAATTAACATTAAGATCGACAACACTCTAATTGCCAGACATAATGAGGGCAAATTCCTAGGCCTATACCTCGACAACAACCTGAATTTCAGCACCCATATCCAACACATAACCAAAAAAGTATCCAAAACGGTTGGGATCCTCTCCAAGATATGATACTATGTACCGCAAAATGCCCTTCTCACACTATACCACTCACTTATTTATCCATACCTCACCTATGCTATTTGTGCCTGGGGATCAACTGCAGCAACACACCTAAAGCCAATAATAACCCAACAAAAAGCTGCAGTAAGAATAATCACTAAATCCCATCCCTGGCAACACACCCCTGCACTCTTCATAGATCTAAACTTACTCCCTGTTCAGTACATCCACACTTATTACTGTGCAATCTACATCTACAGGACCTTAAATTTCAATATTAACCTTGACCTAAAACGCTTTCTTGATAGTTGTGACAGAACCCACAGGCACAACACCAGACACAAACATCTCTATGACATTCCCCGTGTCTGACTAAACCTTTACAAAAATTCAATGTATGTCAAAGGTCCTAAAATCTGGAACACCCTACCTGAAAATTCCAAAACTGCAGACACATTCATCACCTTCAAAACTACCATTAGAAAACATCTGATCTCCCTGATACACCCCGTCAACTAATTACATGAATACCACCTGGTGGTTCACACTTACACTCACTCACCCATTTGACCATAAACAGAAATATCAATCTCAATCTTAAAATAATGAATCCTAACTAGTCATAAGTTGGCCTGTGATACTCCAATACTGAAACTATGTATTGTGCCAAAACAAAAGCATTCAAATTGCTAAGCTCACAAACTAGTATTTAGTCACTTAGCCATAATACCAACTTACCTCATAATTTGTAATATTTTAAAGTTAAGAATTAATCTAAGTCTGCCTAAAATGCCTAGCCATGCTAGGTGTTCTAGTGGCCCCCTCTGTAATTAGTATTTTACTACATGTAAACCACACAATAACCAAATTCTGTAAACTCAGCACTGTAATCCTTATAGAGAATAAACTTGGAATTTGAATTTGAATTTATTTACCACTGTTTCGGACGTATTTATACGTGTAAATTCTAGCGGCTTCAAATCAAGCAGGAGAAAGCTGGTAGGCCCACATGTGAGAGAATGGGTCTGTGTGGTCAGTGTGCACCACATAAAAAAAAATCCTGCAGCACGCAGTGCATAATGAGAAAAAAAAAATGACCGTTTTTTTGGTTTACAACAGCGACTTTGAAGTGTCTTTTCGTATACCATTTATCATTGTATTCTCATTTTCATGGTCTTAAATGATAAAATTGAAAACATATTACAGAAATAGAGATGATTTTGATTAATTTCATGATGAAAATGACCTTGAAATTGAGCTCAAAGTAGAGGAAATGTTCGATTTTTACCAATGTTCAGGAGTAAGCAAATCGCACCACACGTCCAATACACGTCAACTGGGGAGTCTAATATTCTTTCACTAGTGCACTGATGTTATTTATATCCTTTTTACAATAATGCAGTAGTCTGCATAACAGTAAATTTTGTATTTTTTGTATGAATAAAAAAATGAAAATAGAAAGCAATAGTAATATAAGAGGGGCCTAGAGACATGACTAATGAACAGAGGATATGTTATTTTAGTGGCAAGAATGTCTACATTGTTTATTCTGGACCCTTTTTTGAAACTGGCGTCTTTTTTAATTTGCGTGAAATTGGCCAAATTGCCAATTTCTGACCACTTTATTGGGTAGTTCAAATTGGTAAATGGGAGGTTTCTTGTACTCAACTGATAGGAAAAAGGGATTTTTAAAGAAATAGCTATGAATTTGGTCAACTGGAACAACGGAATTGGCCAAAAACAGGGCTCAAAGTCGGCGAAATCGCCGATGCATATATGTCGCCGAGACTGCTAACTTTGCGGGAGCGTCATTCCATGAGTTTTCGACCAAATTTCATACTTTTGGTGTCATTACCATCGAGAAAAGATTCTCTATCATTTCATAAGAAAAAATATTTATTTTTTTCCAAAAATTTTGCGACATAGAATGACAGTTTCAGAGAGGGGCTTGCTACAGTCAAAGGGTTAAAACCCCAACAAGAGTTCAATTGTGACAAAGGAGGCCTGTTTTGAATGAAAATGCAAAGGAGGACCTACATTACTCAGGAGGAAAAGGCACTACCAGGGCACAAGCCTATGAAAGACAGGCTAACTCTCATGTTTTGTAGAAATGCTATTGGGGATTACATTACTCGTGTATCACTCTGAAACTCCCAGAGTGTTCAGGAAAAACAGTGTCATCAATACTAAATTGTGTGTGATGTGGAGAGCAAACAGTCAGGCATGGGTCACTAGGTGCATTTTCCTCGATTGGTTCTATGATGACTTTGGCCCCAGTGTGAAAAAATACCTCCTGGAAAATAAATTGCCACTCCAGTGCCTCCTGTTAATGGACAATGCTCCTGCTCATCCTCAAGACTTCAGGAGGAAAATAGGAGGCTGAAGCTTCATCTAGATGGGTTTGGGAGCGAGTGTGAGATGGTTTTAGCTGGTAAGGAGGAAAAAGTTGCCAGCAGTGATTTGGAGAGTGGCGGCCACTTTAAGTGGCAAGTGGTTCACATTTCAGGAAGAAGGATGATAAAGAAGGTTAACCCTTAAA